TTCCACTCGAAATTTCTTTAATCCAGAGATTATTCGCGTATAATATATTTGCTCGCATAAGTATGACTCCGTTCAATCAAATACGTTACCCTTCGTATTCGAATCGATTGATATCGGTTAAATATTGCCACAGCAAACACGCAGCAACCTTTCCATTAATTATACTCGTATATACAATATATACATATACATACATATATATATATATATAGGAAGTCCACCTCCTAGAGAGCTGAATCCTGTAACCGTTTCCGGAACGGTTCACCCCGCGACTAAATGGCTCGATGCCTTCCAAAGAAGAAGAGAGGGGCCACTACACGGCCACGAGTGCACTCGAGTGAGGGTTCGGTTGTCGGGGAGGGAGAGGAGGAGGACAGGACAGAACCGACGGGGGATGGAAACATGGGTGGTGGTAAATTGAAGAAAGATGGAATTGCTAACGAACGAGGCACGAGGCAAGGCGCATGAAGTGCGGCTTGGCCGCTCACTTGTACGCGCAATCAAGGGAGAAGTTTGCGGTGAACTGCATTCGGGGTATGTGCGTACAAATGAAGACCAGAAATTCAAGGGATAATTTCAGCGTCCCTTCTAGCTCGCTCTGCAACAGGATCATAGGGCCAACTGGCGACATTGTTCTGGTGACGTTTATCATTTGCCAGTTGACTAAACGGTCAGTGATTCGCGTTCGGAATATATTAGTCGATGGAATATATCAGAGAGGCGAAAAGGATGATGATCGCTTGCTTTGAGATAATTAATTAAAAGTGTTATTTAATCAGAAGAAAGTTGGTTTATTCGTTAAGGGATGATTTTTCTTTTTTTTTTAAAATAGTTAATTTTAATAGAGAATTTTAATTGTAAATTCGAGCCCTTGTTATATTTTACAATTACAAAATTCTTAACGTAAAGAAAGGATTATCTTTGCTCTCGTTTCCTTTATCAACTTCGATTGTGCTCGAACGTAATTCCTACGCTCGCCTAAATCTAAATCATGGAGGAATTCCTTCACGGGACGTAAGATCTAAGTTGTACCTCTTCCGGGATTATGTCCACGTGCCGGTTGTTCATTAAAGAATTATAAAGACCATTTCCTAGTTGTTCCATGGCCGCGATCCAACGCCCCATATGGGATTTATTAGAATTAGAAATCTGATGCTCCACGTGTGACTGCACGTTGTATATTAACATTAACGGGGGCAGAAGGTACGAGGGCCATTTGTACGCGGGCCAATGAATTACGTAGAACGTGAGAGGCTTCCCCACGCGAATTATTAGTCTCATTATTACCTAGTTTCGCCGGGAAAACATCTTCAATCGGCCGATTCTTTTACGGAAAAAAAGTATGGAATTACTTGCACGGTTGGTGTAACAGTGTAACGATAAAACGTATTGAAAAAGAGGATTGCTGGTATTTTATTGTTAAATACGAGGTGGAAAAAGATAATATTGGAATGAAGTTGGTAAAATATATTGGAAAGATTTATTTAAAAAATCATCTATTTGTTAGTTAATTGGTCCTGTGATAACTGTTTCAATATTTGCACGATAATATCTATTAAATAATAATTGATTGGAGATGTAATTGTGCTCATTGAAAAACCAATATGTACACGATAATGGATTAAGATTTGAACTCGTGATGTTCAGTGTAATTTATTTCTTTCTTCTTTTTTTTCCCTGTTTTTTTTTTTTTTTTTTTTTTTTT